TAAATAAGAAAACAGCAATGGAAAGGTTCCCAGAAACTTTATTTTCATTGGCAGAAGTCTTGAAATTTAATAAGTGATATAAATAAAGAATAGAGTCTAAAGTCATAAATTCACTTATCTCGTACAGAATGGGCACCAATCATCTTTCTTGATTATGGTTGTCTTCCAATGAAAGTGTGATATAAATATGAGTATAAAATTCCCAAGTTCTTATAGAAGTTCACACATTGAGAAATGTATTAATTTCACTAAGTTACTGATCAAAAAACAACTTGCAAGCTAGCCACCAATGGCTTACACCTGTAATCCTAGCTACCTGGGAGGCTGAGATCAGGAGGATCACGGTTCCAGGTCAGCCTGGGAAAATAGTTCTCAAGACCCCATTTCCACAATAATAAAGCAAAATACCTGCTTTGCAAGTGTGAAGCCCCAAATTCAAACCCCAGTCGTCACACACACACACACACACACACAACAGTTAACAGTTCCATGAAAAAAGTACATCTTGCAGAAAATAGAAATTAGTTTTGACATCAAAAACCTAAACAAACCCTAAACCGTGAATTTGGTGTTTTTTTTCGGTTGGGGTGGGTTGTTACTAGGAAGATTGTCCTATTTATGTGTAGAAAAGGGTGGTCTTTAGTTCTGAAATTGACAGTTGTTTCTTTTAATCACACACGCTCTTTACGGTACATAAGAGGTTTAACACCCTCATATTTTATCTGTCATATTGTGCCAGGTCATTTGGAATTCTTTGTCTTTGGAAAAAAAGTAATAAACAGCATTTTATTTTTAAAAAAATTCTGTTGTTAGACATTGTGAGTTCCTATGATTGTGGTGTGAACATGCAAGTGTATTTATGATTGAAATGGCCTGCTGATTTTTAAAAACAAGTGTATGTCTGGGCATATGTGAGTCCTCACTGCTACTTGGAGATCATTAATGGTGAGCTAGGTGATTAATGGGCCAGGATAGTTTGGCAAGGGACAGCCAGAGAGAATCTAACTCAGAAACAGAAGGCAGCTGAATGTGTGTGTCCAAGAAGGAGGAATGAGGGGGAGGTAAGACCCATAAATGTCACAGCGAGTCAGCTGTTTCATTTTTGTGGCTTTATCTACGATCTCCACAAATACTTAAAGACAGGTGGCTCAAAATATTACTATCGCTAAGCTAGTTTTATAGAAGTCTTAAGAAAAGCTCTGCTGTAAGCAACATAATCCACCTGTTTCAAGAAACCATCACATATTTTTATTTTCTTGGTATCTGCTTTTTATAAGTTGGTAAAGACACTTACCAAGATATTGGTTACCTGACCTATTTTAAAGTTGGAGGTTTATTCTCTCTCTCATTATGTAGTAAAAGATAAATATATATAAATATAAATAATATATAAATATATATACATATACTTTTTTTTTTTTTTTTGCTTAAACCCCCTCAGTCTTTCTAAGATAAAGAGACTTACAAAGCATCTGATGGTGTGGACCAGACCTAACACACAGCAGCCCCTTCTCTGGTCCCCTAACCAGAGTAAAAGTACCATAATTAGTTCTTCTCTCTACAAACTCAAAAAATGAATAATTGGAGCCAGGCAACATCAGCTCACACCTATAATCCTAGCTACTTGGGAGGCTGAGATCAGGAGGACATCAGTTCAAAGCCAGCTCAGGCAAATAGTTCATGAGACATCCCCCACACACACCCCAACTCCAAAATAATCAAAGCAAAGTTGACTGGAGCTGTGGCTTAAGTGGTAGAGCACCTGCTTTGCAAGCACAAAGCCCTGAGTTCAAACCCCAGTCTCCCCCAAAAAAGAATAATTGTAGTAATTTTTTAGCTTATCTGAATTAACTGGATAATTAAGGTAACCATGTTTGTGAAGAGGAATGGAGTAAAAATGTATTGTTAATTATAGATATCATTGCCATCAGCAAAGCAATATGGAGATTCCATTTGAGGACTAGAAGTAATTTCCTTTTCATAATAAAATCTAAATTCTAAAGTAATAAAATGATTAGTAATTATTTCAAGACATAACATTCAATGAAGACAAATTACAGTACACATCAGTATATAACTATATTATATATAATGTAGACATATATTATATATAACCAAAAATAATATACTTTCCATTTGCTGCTTACAATGGTTTCATTATTTTATAGCCATAGTTCATATATTTAAAAACAGAAGCGACAGCTGTTCCCAGAACAGTGAAATTAATTTAGAGAAGGGGATTTGTAGTACATTAACTTTTTAAAAAGTCTTTGTGCCAGAAAAAAAGTATATAATCAAACATCTGCTCTCAAAATTAATCTTAATAGACCTTAAAAGCAGCATTTTTTAGTTTTTGTGCTGTGTTCTTGCAACAGAAGTGAACCTTTGCACAGTGAATATAGCCATTAAAAATCGTAAGTCTGCCGCTTTTCTTTTTTTTTATGTTATAAGCCATTGTTACATGATTTTAATAGAATCTCTTTTTCAATTGTGCCAGATCTGAGACTCTAAGATCCTGAAGAGATTCATTTTATCCAAATCATAAAGAAGTTTTTTAAAAAGCATTTGTGTAGGGGTCACTGCCACTTAACTAAGGTTAAGTCTTTCTCCCTTTGAGTTTCTCCAGCAAGGCTCCTGCATTCAGTGCTCAGAATCACTTCCCCATCTAGGTGACCTTGTACAAGTCACATGACATCACCAACTAGGTCCTTAGCCCTATGAAGCATTCTGTATTGTGGCAATAGAATGAAAGTAGTTGTTCTGGTAAGATATATTATGAGAGAATTTATTAAGAAAAGTCTTCTTTGAGAAGGGCCAGAAGTATTCAGCTGACCTGCAAGTAATAAACCCTTCTCTTGCTACATACCCGTGATTCTTCCTGCATGCACACATCTGACCATGTAGCCTCCACTCAGAGTCAGTGTAGTCTCAGGGTAATGCTGAATGACCGAGTGTCATTCCCCTCAGTTTCTCAGGGTAGGAATTGTTGGTTCAGAGGCACCTCCAGATGGGTTCACCTACCAGAGAGTTATCCTTTCCATCTCGAGATGGATTTAACTCAAATTGTGAAAGCTCTCTTCCAGCACCCTCTGTCCTTGGAGCTCCACTCCCGCACAGGGCCTACAGCCTCAGTTGTCTGTGAAAAAGCAAGAACAATGGGCACCTGAGGTATCAGATGCTCTTGCTCCCATCCAGGCTAGGCAACCTGGTGCCTTCCTTTTACCATGACATCTTCCTGGAAAGCACACTGAGGGCCAGTGTCTTTCAGTAGCCCCAGGAAAGAATAAAGACCCCATCTCAGGATGACTGAGCACTCAAAAGAAAGCCAGGATTTGGGTACAAGTACCCTACTACTGGAACCAGTAGGTACTTAGAAAAAAAATGAATCAAACAAGAGGCAAGCACCAAATCACAACAAAACCAGCATTGAGAGCAACTTGATGCTGACATGCCAGCATCGAAGGCCACAGGGTCTTCTCTCTCCATTGCATGGAGACTGGTTCCAGAGTTAACTATAGGAGCTCCATTAGCTATTATGACCTTAAAGAGATGTATGAAGTGGAGATAAAAAACAAACCAAGGTTATTATGCCCCCTCCCAATATTTCAATCACATATATTATAACTAGAGGCTCAAGAACAATGCTACCTATGTATCAAGGTAGTTCATACCTCTGGTCTTCAATATGATTAGTGACTATTTTTTTCTAGATCTGAATATAGCATGAAAGATTTCTCTGAATAAGACTTTAGAACCAAGCAAATACCTGCCTCTGCCATTGACTGCTGGCTTATCACTGAATGTAATCAGCCTTTCTGATTTTCTGCCTTATTTTCTATTCAATACTTCTAGTCATACTACCTTGATTAAGGTTGATCTCAACACATGGGACACACTAGTTATCCCCAAA